GATTGTTTATCCCACCTATCTTAACTAGATAGACATGCAGAGATAATAATATGTACAAAAAACAAGACAGAGGAAAACAAAGCAACAAAAGAAAACAAAACAACAACAAAAACGCCTATAAATAGTTCAGGGTCTACTTGTTGACTTTTGGGAATGTTTTCCAGTCGAGTCTGATGAGGTGCCACACTCTGGCTCCAAAGTCTATTTTTGGTATTCCCCAGTGACTTCCTTGCTCTGCTCCCCTTGGAGTTTTTTTTTTCCCCCTGGGTATTTTTACTAAGAGGCCAAACGCTGTATTTTGTAATAGCCAGGCATCATCAGCTTTATCACATTTACTTATAGACCTATATTATCTTCAGTGGTCATGTAAGGAGGGTGAGTATCACAAAATACCAGGTTAATAGAACAAAGTGTTCTTGCATTGAGGGAGGGTTTGAGCAGAAACCCAAAGTCTGTCCACTTCTCCATATGTTACCAGGTAAGTATATGTACATAGGCCAATACCTCTATTTTAATGAATTATTGTATTTACATATGTACACAACTATGTTTCTATCTCTATCAGTGGTTTTGATTCCTAGATCTTTCCTCTGTTTCCTTTTACATTTTTCCTACCCCACGATCATGCTCACCCTTCATTTGCCTCAGTAATTCCTCTCAGCTAGATTACTGCTTCTTCAATACCACCAGGGTCCCTATGCCTCCCTTGCCAGTGATTTTAATTCTCTAGCTGTTGCCCCGTTCATGGCATTGTTTGCCCACTCCGTTCCCACGCCCGCCCCCCACCCCCCAAAGTCCTCCTGGAACTGAGTCCTGCTGATTTCTCCCTGGGCTTGCATCTCCTACCTATCTTACAGAGGCAGACAAAACAGCAAGAATGAAGGCAAAACAAAAAGAAAGCAAAGGATTGAAGGGTAATTATTTCTCTTATCACTCTCAAAGGAGATTACTTAAAATTTTTAAAGTGCTCAGACATTATCTTAAGTTTATTACTTACTCAAGCCATCATATAAATTAAAAGTTCTAGGGGTTAGTAAAAATTGAAACCCCAAGTCCTCATAGAGAGAACAATCTAAGTAACACAAGGTGATCAGGCCGTCATAAGGACTACCTACAATTGGGGGACGTGAGGGTAGAGTGGTTCAAGAAGTTCCTGGGAGGGGTCAGGTCAAGATGATGACCAGGTGAGTGGCACTTACTGAGGACTCTTTTGTGCAAGGTGGGTCTAGTGTCCAGGTAGCCGAGTGGAAGGATTCTGGAGAGTGAGAGATCCCCTGAGACAACACCCCACACCCACGACATGTGCACCTGTGGTGGGACCCCCTACAGCACCTGCCCACTTGTGGTACTCCACCAGGAGAGGTTTCCCTTTCCCACAGCTCCCCTCTCCCCATGTGGCAGCAATCCACCCCCAGGCTCAGGTCCCTCCTTCTATAAATCCAGGGCCAGGGACAAGACCTGCAATCTACCAGTAGCTGGCTGGGTGACCTGCGACTGGGGACGATCCACCCCCATTGCTGCCTGGGACCTCTCCACTGGTACCCTCGCCTGCCCACCTGCTCCACTCCTGCCCCCTGCCTGGGAGGTCACGTAGCGTCACACTCTCTCAGCCACCAGCCCTGGGCACTTCCCGCAGGCATGTGCCCACTGCTGGAGCCCATCCTGCTTCTACCCACAGCCCTGCATTTCCACCAGGGTCGCTTCAAGCTGGCCCATGCCACTACAGTTCCCCATGGGGTTCCCAGTGCTGGCAGCCCCGAACACTAAGCCTGCCTGCTCCAGCCCATTCCTGCCAGTGCAGTAGGCTAGCACCATTGCCCTGTGTTTCCCGCTGGAATCACTTCTGTCCGTTCCTAGCCCAGCTAATGCCACTGCGGAGCCCTGCAGCATTCACAGTCCTGGTGGCCTGAACGATGAACGTTCTTGCCTGCTAGGAAGGGCAACACCCAGCCCTGCATTACCCGCTGGGGCCGTTTCTTTCCACTCAGGGCAGGTCCAAGACTTTGTGGTACCCTGTGGCGTCCCCAGCAGGCCCAAACACCTTTCGGCCTCAGCCTGTTCCTGCCAGCACAGGAGGCTGGTGCCTCGGCACAGCGTTTTCCGCAGGAGCCACTTCTCCCCAGTCCTGGGACAGCCGGCACTACTGCAGCACTCCTTGCTGCCTCACCCTTTCCGGCCAGTGCAGAAGGCTAGCTGCTGCAGTGTGCTTCCCACTGGCATAGCCTCTGCCTACAGGCTCAACACTACAGACCTTGCAGGGATCCAGGGGGTTCACTCTGCTCACATACCCTGGCTTCGGAGCCCTAGATCAGCACCACCTTCCATGGCAGTGAGGGCTCCCCCACCTTCTCCTTCTATTAGGCATCTTTAAAAATGGGAGGGAAAGGGGGAACTTTTTTTTTCCGTTATTTTTTTTCTCTTCTTTGCTTTTCCTTCTCCCTCTCTTCTTTTCTTTTTATTAAACAAGGAAAAAGGCTGCAGTGTACCCTCACAGACCAGTTCAAAGCAGCTCAGGGGCATACATTTAGGCTCCAGCCCCTACTGCTAGTCACTGAAACTTCTCACCACTGTTGGCCACTGAACCATTGAGGAACTCTGCCTACACAGCAGTCTGACCCACCTCTATAGCAGGTGGCTGGCAGCCCCTGAAAGCATCCTTAATAGTAACACAGAGAAGGACTTAAGGGGCCCCTGGTCTCCCAGAAACATGGGGCCTATGAAAGGATTGAGGAAAAATCAACAGACCACATTACTCCCAACAAAAAAACCCAGAGAAAAAAACAGTAGCAGAGCTAATGACTCTCTTAGAAGAATCGGACACAGATCTGTCACAGAAAGAAGTCTTCAGAAGTCTGTTCTGACTAATACAGGAGCTGAAAACAGCTACATAGAATAAGGCTGCAATGATAGAGGAGATAGAGTTCACAATAGAGGGGATGAAGTCCATACACCAAAGGGAAATACAGGTGCTAACGGGTGAGGTAGCAGAAGCCAGACACAAAGTTACAGAATTTACAATTAGGTAAAGAACTGTTTCAGTGATCTTGAAGACACTCAAACAGACCCCAGCAGGCGGGAAAGACAGATAGGAAAATTAAAGAAGCAGAAGATAACCTGAGATCAATGAGAGATG